GTAAATTGAATTTCAAAGCAAATGACACAATGAACTCATACCTCAATTTTATTGAGCTTACTTAACGGTCTTTAAATTCGTAAATATTCGACCATATTTACCAAACTTTAATATTTAAATTTTATTATTGACATGTGATGAAATAATGCATTTTGGAACATGACAATGACAATATATAGTGGAACTCCAATCGTTATATTTTTTGCATGAAGATTCTGTATAACTTGGCGGGTCAAAATATTGGATTCAATGAAAATCAGTTGAAAAATAGGGTATTAATCAAGGAAATTGTATTAATTGGATGGATCTGATTTATTGGATAGACCCGTGGTCATAAATTTTTGTTGAACCTAAAATATCTAATGAAAAAAGAAAGAAGTATAAAAGTTTTAAGTTCGGCCAGCCCGATCTTTGAATACCCTCCACCATTAGGAACGAAATTGGAAATTTTCACAAAAATAAACACCATTAAAAATTCTGTTAAAATCTTAAAAATACCGAATGTAGCCGAATGTAGCCTGCATCATTAAACTCATAATCATACCGGATACAGGGAGAAACATTTATAGGGGGGCTACACGAAGAGGCTGTAGTATTCATTACACACTTCAAATACCAAATTTGACACAATTCCGGTGAATTATGTCGCTGAAATCATCAAAATACCGAATATGGGGAGGTACCGTTATATGGGGGCTATACGAAGACCTACATAGACAGTATTCTGTCATAGGCTGTAGAATGCATTACGAACTTCAAATACCGAATTTGAAACAATTCCGGTAAAAAATGTCGCTGAAATCATCAGAATACCGAATATGAGGAGGTAACGTTGTATAGGGGCTATAAGAAAACGTTGACCTGCACAGACAATCTTCTGTCATGGGCTGTAGTATCATTTACGAACTTCAAATACCAAATTTGAAAGAATTCCGGTGAATAATGTCGCTAAAATCAACAAAAAACCGAATATCCTGAGGTACCGTTATATGGGGACTATACGAAAAAGTGGACCGACAGACAGACGGACATCGGTAGATCGTCTTAGAATTTTACGCTGATCCAGAATATATATACTTCATAGCGTCTATAATGAATAATTCGAGGAGTTACAAACGGAATGAAAAAAATAATATACCCTCCATAAAATCGTAGAGGGGATAACAAGTAAAAAAGCTGTAAATTAGGCCGGCCGAACTTTGAATACCCTCCACCATTTGGAACGAAATTGGCTATTAAATAAAAGAATGAAAATAAAAAAAACTACGTGGACCTGCATCATCGAAATCATCAACATACCGAATATGGAGAGGTACCGTTATATGAGGGCTATACAAAGACGTGAACCTGCACAGACAATCTTCTGTCATAGGCTGTAGTATGCATTACGAACTTCAAATACCAAATTTGAAACAATTCCGGTAAAAAATGTCGCTGAAATCATCAAAATACCGAATATGGGAGGTACCGTAAAATGGGGGCTATACGAAGACGTGGACCTTTACAGAAAATTTTCTGTCATAGCCTGTACTATACATTACGAACTTCAAGTTCCAGATTTGACGCAATTCCGATGAATAATGTCGCTGAAATCATCAAAATACCGAATATGGGGAGGTACCGTAAAATGGGGGCTATACGAAGACGTGGACCTGCACAGACAATCTTCTGTCTGCCAAATTCGAAACAATTACGGCAAATAATGTCGCTAAAACCATCAAAGTACCGAATATTGGAAGGTACCGTTATATGGGGGCCATACCAAAACGTGGAACTACATGGCCAATTTTCAGTACCAAAAGTTCTGCAGACATAATATACATTTGAGTAAAATTTTATTAACCAACATCATTTCTTTCGGGAGCTAGAGTGAATTCCACATACGGACGGTCATCGCTAAATCGACATATAATTTTATGCTGATCAAGAATGTATACTTTGTAGGGTCTAAAATGTATATTTCTAGGTGTTACAAACGGAATGACAAAGTTAATATACCCTCCATACTATAATCCGAACTCTACCATCTTTATAAGAGATCTGGTGTTGATGGAAATTTTGACGTGTACCAAGTCTGGAATGGAATGGGATGTTAATTTCGCTTTTTATGAGCTTCATGGAGATTCAACATTTTGAGCCTTTGTGAGGGAGATACCAGAAAGAGTGGACCTAATATATCCCATCTTTACAACAGATATTGTGTATAAAGAGATTCTGATGCTTATTTCGCGTTTTATGACCTTCATGGATATTCAAAATTTTGACCCTTTGTAGGGGAGGGACCAGAAGCAATGGTCCGATCCCTACCGTTTTTCTAACAGATTCCTATGTTGATGGATATATTCAAATGTGCCAAGTCTAAATGGAATCGGATGATAATTTGGCATTTTATGAGCTTCATGATTACTCAAAATTTTGACCTTGTAGGGGAGTCAACAGAATGAGTGGCCCGATATATTCCATGTTAACAACAGACGTTGGGCTGTTAAAAATATTGGGATATGTGTAATTTGAAGACAATCGGACACTTACATCACATTTTAAAATATTTACAATTATTCAAAATTTTGACTATATGTGGTGGAGGTATTTCATGGATTGGACCGATATTTTCCAGTTTCGCACCTGACCTAGCACTAATGCAAATAGTTGGAGCAAAATCCTTATCCTTTCTCTTTCTGTGCAAAAAAATTATTTTCTTTGAAAATGTTGACATTTTGTGTGGTAGGTACCAGAAGCAGCGGTCTGATATTCCCCGTCTCCCGATTCAATTTGTGTTTGACAATAATATTACAATGTACCAAGTTTGGATCAAATTGAATACACCCTTCGAGAGCGAGCCAGACAGACTAACGGCGGATATCGCCAGATCGACTCCAAATGTCTTAAAACGGATTTGGTCTAAAGAGACCTAGGGTCTAAAACCGATATATCGACTAGGCACGTTTTGACCGTACCAAATGATATATACCCTATCTAGCCATATGGCTAAAGGTATAACTAGTAAAGGGGGATTTAAGCTCGTCCGAACTTTTTATAACCTCCACCATTATGCTTATCAAAATAAAATGAAATAATTATAGAGCAGAATATGTTAACTTAGACTATTAATCCGTTTCAATTTAAATAAAAATCTAGTAAGCCAAGGCTATAGTCGTGCGGGCCATCCATGAGATACCCTACAACACTACAATATGTTAGAAGTAACCTTATGTCCAAATCCTTTTTGGAAGATTTCTCTTTTGAAATTATATCATAGAGCACTGCCCAGATATTACCCCTAGCCAGGGGCATTTGCCCAATATTTACGCACTCCGTCGTGTTGTGGTCCATTTTACAGCTAAATATAATCCAACGATCATCCAAAATTATAGACTTCTTCGCTGTCCTTAACTCCCTTCTCAGGCAAAATTCCGTGTCGATTGTTTTCTATTGTGTGATCAGGAAAATTGTTCTGTTTTTTTTTGTTCATTTGAACCCCTAAATATTTTGCGATCGTCTCCAATTGCTGGAGGCTCCTCTGTATCTCCAAATTTAGACTCATCTATATGATTTGTCTGTCTACGATATTTGGTTACATTCGTAAACGAAATCATTATAAAAGAAAGCCAGAAGTTTGCCTTTTGTGTATTTTGGATTTGGCCTGTAAGTTATTTTCAGCGTTTTGGTGGAATGGTTGTTGGTAGTTGTTGGTCCATTTCAACCCCTAAATATATTGCGGATTTCTTTATAAACAATAGGCCTATAGGGCTAGGCCTATTGTTTTGAAATTTTCGTAAGGATCGGACGATAATTGCAATCGGTATATAAAAACCCCAACCTGTGTTGTAAAGTGAAAAAATATTACAAAGCAGCAATACCCGATGACCACTAACTATTACCCGAAGACCATCCAAATTGAAAGGCTTCTACCCTGCCCCAAGCTCTAGCCCCTTGGTAACTTTCGTGTCGTTTGGTCTCTAATCGCGACCTTTTTTGATCCATTTCAACCCCTAAATATTATGCGATCATCTTCCACCTCCATGAAAAATTTCGTGAGGATCGGGCCATAATTGCGATTACAAATTAACATGTACATAAATAATATTACTTGCATTCTTTTATTTATTTATATATTTTTATCATAGCTAATATTAAAATCTCTGTTTCACATAAATAAATATATTTCACTTTTCATTTCGTAATCTTAAATAATTATTTATGCAAGTACCGGACCAAAAGGGGTAAAATGAAGGAATTTCCGTTTTCACTTTTACTATTATTATTCTGGCATTTCTTTGTTACAATGATAATTATTCATATGTTTGTATGCAAAACCACATTTTCTGCCATATTGTATTACGAGCAGAATATATTTATATGCGCTACATACATAAATACACTGACACACACACACACACACACACATATGTTTGTATGCCAACATTTATCATTAATCTTATTCAAGATAAATGTGGCATAATATTTTTCACGCCCTACTATTGTGTAAGTTTATTGATAAACGGAAATATATAAATTATTAAAATGGAAACAAGCATCTGCAAATAATTACCCTCATTACCAATACATTTAAAGTAGTTTATTGCCAGCGTATGCACACACATACAAACACCCACACACACATTGGCACAGACACAAGTGTTTTGTGTGCTGGCATGGTGGTGGCGGCAATCGAGTGCGCTCTATATACAGCTATAGGAGCTATAAGGATATTATTGCGTACATTAAAGTTTCCCATTAAATTATCCCACTTTTAGATAAGGGTTTTGTTAAATGAATGTTATTCGTAGTTGTAATTGTTATTGGTTGTTGTAGGATAGATTGTGAGAGTTTTGGATTCGTTGCGAAATAATTTGTTAATAGTATGACAATATACTCATATAATTCTTGATATAATTCATATTTGTAACTGGGATGATACATGAACATAGTTATCGCAATTATCACCAAATATTCTTACATGTTTTGTAAATTAGGAATATTATAAAAGACCAACTTACCATTCTTATAAAGCCATGGTAAAATGTGAACCTGATTGCAATCGGCGATGTCCCAGAAAAAAAGACCCAAGTCCCTACCACGTCCTAAGGATTTTCTGATGAAGATGTCCGGTAAGATCTTCATCATTTCACCGGCCGATATTCAGGCGTGTATGCATGGGAATTATCTATAATAACAAGAGATTCTTTCATCAGTAAATATAGATATAGACATTATGGCAAATTAAAATAGTGAGTAAAAGACAACATTTTTATTACCTCAGGCATATGGCTACAGAGGGTGTATATACAGTTTTGGAAGTTTACATAGGAGGAATACGAAAATTAGCGAGGAAGTATCGCCCATATTTTATTAATTATATTTGAAAGTATTCCATATAAAATTCCTAGGAAACCCATAAATTTTAGACATAAAGACCCTTCGGTAATTGGAAAAATCCGGGATATATTTTGGAACAACGAATTAACCCTCAGTGGAACTTTAAGGGATATTTTGGGTACTTTTCTTTAAAAACATTAAAAAACTGAACCCGAAGACTTCATTTTTGCTGTTTTTATACCCTACAACAATATGTGTTGGGTGTATTATAAGTTTGATTGGGCCAAAAATTATGTAACACCACGAACTATTGGTTTAACATATAGGAAAGTATATATGGATCTTCCTACCTCGCCGAGCTGAGTCGATCTAGTTATGTATGTCCGTCCGTCCGTCTGTCCATGTTAATTTGAATTCAAGCTACATGTCGCAATTTTGGCTCGATGCTCACGAAATTAAAAATGGAGGTGGGGTTATGGTCAGAATAGAATGGAGATGATCAAATAATTTTTAGGGGATGAAATGGAACAAAAACTGAAAAAAATCCTGATTTTGCAGTTGTTCTACAAGTCGAAGTTAGTATGGGACTAGCGCTTAGGGCCGGACAAAAGCATTCCAATTTTGATGGTCATCGGTAGTATTTAGTGGGTGAAATAGAACATAACATCTGTGTTAAATAAAAGTCAAGTTTTCCATTAAACCGCGATTATTTTTAATAAATATATCGGATATACATAACGAAATATATATAATGTGTAGAGGGGGAGATGAAAAAAATGCAACCAACTTCAGACTACTGTCATTTCTTAGCCACTGGTCCGACAGTTGTTAAAATTATTACAGTGACAGCTCATTATATTGCTTACAAGCGTACAAAAGAATTTTGGTGAGAATTTTCTAGAAAAAAATTTTTTTCATGATAGAATTCAAGGGTGATAGTGTGATTTCTTTATACAGGGTTGCCCATATTCGACGGACGCCATAACTTTTGACAGAGATGTCACATCGCTTAATGACATACCGCGTTTGAAGCGTCAGTCCAAGCAGATTTTCACCATGAACCAATACACGTCACGCGAGCGCTCTGAAAAAGTTGAAATTTACATTCAACAGAAGAAGTCAATTGTGAAAACTCAACGTGCTTTTAAAACATTAAAAAATGTGAGAAGTGCGCCTTTTAAGGGACCGAAAATAAGCAAAATTGCCGTTTCTACGCCACTGAAAATCCTCAGGAGATTCAAGAAGTGCCTCTTCATGACGAAAAAGTCACAGTTTGGTGCGTTACTGCGAAAACGGTCATTGGGCCGTTTTTCTTCCAAAATGAAAATGGCATGATGGCCAATTTTGTGATGCCAATTATTCGTCGAAAGCGTATGAGGCAGTTCTTGTTTCAACAAGACGGCGCTCCACCGCACACAAGTTGCATAACAAAACATGGGTCCGCCGAATATAGGCAACCCTGTATTTGGCTGGTTATCGTTAGAGCACTCCAGCATTTAAATGTGAATAAATCTTTTCTGTCTCCTACCATCACTCGTTATCGGGATACTGGTAGCGTAGCACGACGTCAAGGAAGTAGACGGAAGAAAACAGCAACATCAGCAGATGTGGTTCGAAAATTAAAGAAACGATTTGATCGAAACCCGCGTCACAGTGGCCGAAAAATTGCTCGTGAGCTGAACATATTACAATATTCCGTTGTGTAAATATTGAAAAATGAGCTCGGAGTAATGCCAATGAAATTCCTAAAGGTGGAAGAACTTACACCGCAACAGAAAAAAATAGACTCAACAGAGCTAAAAAGTTGTTTCGCTTGGCCGAAAATGGTGAACTGCCGAATTTGATTTTCTTCGATGAGAATACACGTTTTTGTCCAGAAGTTTGAAAACAAACAAAATTATCGTGTTTACGTGCCAAAGAGGTCAGCTGAAAATGTGCACCTTCGGTTGGCCACCAGAACTCAAGCGCCGGCCATGGCGATGGTGTGGGCCGCCATAACAGCTGATGGTCGCTCTCATCGCATCAGAATAAATGCTAAACGTTATAGCGAAAATATTCTGGAGGGTGTATGAAATCCTTGGGCACGCAAACATTTTGGCCGCAGGCATTGGAAATTAAAACAGGACTCAGCACCATCGCTTTCAGCACGCGCCACCCAAGAATGGTTACAAAATGAGGTGCCTTGCTTCATTTCCAGCGCACAATGGTCACCAAAATCTCCAGTTATCAATCTGTTGGACTATTGTGTCTGGAGTATTTTGGAAAGCAAGGTTGGCACTAAAAAATACCAAGGTGTTGATCATCTCAAGCAAGCGCTTCGTCGGGAATGGGCCAAAATTTCGCAGAGCAAGATTCGGGTGGCGTGTGACGGTTTCATTTCATCAAAGTTGACCAATTCGAATAAATCTAAACATATTCATATATATTGTCACACCTGACAATAGTTCGAAATGTTCTAGAAGGCCTCCCCCTTGTACATTTTATTTTAAATTTTCCTTGCATTTTAGGTAGGTAGATTTCTCGTTAATATTACTAATAACCTTCAGTGAATCTTTTTGGTCGAAAATTTCAACTGGCAGGTATTTGTGATTAAATATTATCCGATGACCGAACAAAATGGTAGGCTTCCTTCCTGCCCTAAACTCTAGTCTCATTATAAATTCCGTATAGATTGGTCCATAATTGCCACCTGTAGAGCAACTGCAAAATCAGGAAATGTTTCTGTTTTCGGTCCATTTCAACCCTATTTCTCCAGAAATAATAGGCTTTTATTCTTACCCTTACAATGCTTAATTTCTGTCCATAACTGCAACCTTAAGCGAGATTACAAATTAACACGGAAAGACGGATGTAAAATGGGAAGATCCACATAAAACATCCTATGTGCAATACCAATATTTCAAGGTGTTATATAATTGTTGGCCCAGAGAAATTTGGGATATTATCCCCAACACATCAATACAAATAGAGCATTTTTTGAACCTGAATATATTTTGATGATGTTTTAAGCTAATCACATATGGTGCAGATATAATTGTCGGCAAATTTGCGTTTGCTTCATTTGAAACTTCTTGAACCATTAACTGCCATGGACGACTCCCATACAGAACAATTTGTTAGGCACTGACAAATAATCCGGCTCTACCTCAAGATTTACACACTTCAATGGAATAATAACTAATTGAAAACTGCGTTGCATTAAATAATAATAGCCAGGTAAGATTTTCAGTTGGTCTGGTGTACCACCAGAAAATCCGGCCAGAACAATGTCCACATTCTTTGTTTGGATTATTTTAGCTTGACACCGCAGGGTATGAATCAAAGTTGTCATACGACACGTACGTTGTTTTAGTTTTATTTTATTCTTTTAGTTGGACACACACACAAACGTGTGTGTATGTGTGTGAGTGTGTCTCTGTGTGTGTGCACATACAATTGGAATATCACATCTCTTCAATTTTTGAACGTCCAGAGACTATCTCCATGAACTATGTACCGATGTAGCCGGGCACGTTGCCTTCAAAAACGTTTTACTTTGGTTTCGAGTGCATATTTCCTGCGTCCGCCTGACAATCCCCTCCTCTGCCTTTGGCCAAAATGGGTTTTGTTGCTTTTCTTTTTGGCTAAGTGTCAGTTAAAAAATGGCATTTAACTCGACCTTAGTAAAATGTTGTCATAAATTACATGCGGATCGTTCGTTCGTTCGCTCGCTCGTACATTCGTTTGGTAGTCATGTCCTCTTTTTTCCGATGCAACTCTACCGTCCTGTTCTTTGATTTTTTGGTGCAATATTTTTTTTTTTCGGCGTTACGCGGGATGTGGCACATAGTGTCACACGAAATGCTGCAGCAAAAGTTTTACAAATATGCTGCTGCCACAGTTTATTTGAACCTCTCACTAAGTGCCAACTTACAGACGCGCACACACAAACACACACAGAGACATGGAGTTATGAAACAAGCACGGACATGAACAAATACTATAAATGTTAGTAAATTTTTTTGTTGGACTTTGTTGGTGTAAGCTTTTAATCGTATGATAACTGCCAGTAACAACAACAACAATGGGAGTAGCAGGAGCAGCATCAATGGGGAGACTATCTAGCGAATGGGCCAACAGTCAGTGATGTACTCAATATTTTACGGGGTGATGCTTTAGAGATTGTGACAAATTAATTCTGGGAACTCATGGCATGAGGGCTCACCGCCATGGAATGGAAGTTTAATAGAATTTAAAAATATATTCTGTTCGTTAGAGGTACCAGGACAAAGTGCTACGTGGAAAAATTCTATCAAAGATTTGTAAAAACAATTTTGGCTTCGGAATGAAAATTTTAGTCCACTCGGGAGCTATATTCAGAAAATTTCATAAAAGAGTCACCTAGTTATTTGTTATAGAGGAGAGAGAGAGAGGGAGGAAAATAAAGTAAATACTAAAACTTCTTCCAACTTCTCAACTAAATTTCAGGTTTCTAGAGTGTTATTCCAAAAGAAGGTGTTATTCCAATTAGCTGAGGAACATTGGAAGGGCCTTGTTAAAAATTTCTGGTACGATAAAAATTAAAAACAAGTAAAAAAAAACTTTGACTTCGGCTGGCCGAACTTTGAATAATCTCCACCATTTGGAACGAATTTGACAATTTTTTGGGGAGGTACCGTAATATGGGGGCTACACGAAGACGTGGACTTGCAAAGACAATTTTCTGTCTTAGGCTGTACTATCCATTACGAACTTCAAATAACAAATTTGAAACAATTCCGGTGAACAATGTCGCTTCAATCACAAAAAAAAAAAAAAAACCGAAAATAGGGGCTATAACAAAACCTGGACCTACATGGCCCATTTTCA